AAAGTGACTGTGTTCATTCCCATAATCAACAATCATAAAATAATATTTTCTCCCTGTACTTTGCTGGCAAAATTTATGTCCCCAGAGAATTCAAGGAAGCAAACACAGCAACGTTAGTACCATGTCTCTTTAGAATGTCTGAACCAAACAAGATGCATGTCTTGCAAAAAATGAGCAAACAAACAAAACCAACCCCATGAAACCCATGATATTTTACACAAACAGCTCTCAGCACTATAGAACAAACCTTTTAGTGGAATGTTTAAGTCAAGTTTGGGGGTTTTCTAGCAGGAATTTCATTCTCTTAAGTTCTCTAGGATTTGCACTTGATGAGGAGGCAGGAATATGAATGAATTAGTGGATTTGACAAATGGCTGCAGTCTTGATTCCATTTGTGATTGATTATTCTTAAAGGGATAAGTACACTTGTCCCACCCATTCCTACCTCTCTCCTGAGAAGTGTTTAGGATACGTATGAAAAACAAAAAGAAGTACTTCAGGGTGTCTGGCATTGTTTGAACCCTTTGAAATGAGATGTTGCCTCTGCCATGTAGTGTTAGCTTTTGAGAGCAAGTGAGCACCAAGTGACAGCCTTAATTTTTATTTCTTTGCCTTTGTAGATTTAACCAGCTGTCTGTGTTAGTGAAGCACTAAGTACATTATATAATTATAAGGTTCTGAATATAATTGCTGTGTATGCTGCATAATTTAAGTTCCAACTGTACTTGCATCTCTCATTTACCAAGCCAGTAAAGGATATAATAATATTGAAAACAATAACAGTTCAGTGCTGCCACAGTATAGTCATGGGGGATTGCACTTAATGAGTATGTTTGTGAGTCTTATAAAGAGATCCTGGCTGATAAAATCACAGTAGTTAAAAGTTAAGGTTGTCTGTAAGGTAATGCTTTTCCTTGCAAGTCTGGATATAATGCCCTGACTAAAGAAATATCTGGTACTAAACGTGTATTCTGGGACTGGAGACCTGCCAATTTTTGCAGAGTGAGATCTCAGACATACAGTGCATTGTGGCAGGGGAGAACAGGGCTGCTCCTGGGTATGAAAAGGAGCTCACTGGCTTGGGTTTTTTTGTTTGTAAAGTAGTTGGACATAAGCAGAAGCTCGTGAATGTGACAGGGCAAAGGCTTGTGTAAGACAGTTCTTTTAGTGGTAGGATCCTTGTATACTTGTTAGGCTTTACACGTGCCAGGCAAGGGTAACTATTTGACTGCACTGTTCTCAGAGGCTTCCCTGCCTTATTTATTAGTTGACTGTGGCTTCCTGGCCATATAGCTTCCTAGAACTTTAAAATTTATTTCTGCTCCTTGGTGGAAATGCAGTACAAATATTTTTGATGGTTTTTGCAAAAGTATGATTCTGTCAAATATTCATTGATAAAACCTGAGCATTTTCTCACTAAGGAATGCTTGGTAGGATATGGAGTACACATGGTAGACTTAAAGTTTCCATGGTTTTATTGCAATTACTGTGAAAAGGGTGGAGTGTGGATTTGAGCTGGGGGTTCCTTGCCTCTAAATCACTGATATTCTGCAGATATCAGCCGACAACCTCTTCTTGCTTACCGCCTCCTTTTGATATAAGGTTGCCAAAATAAAAGGCAGCTTCCATGAAGTTTTAGTCAAACTTTGTTTAACTAAAATCCTATTCTGTCTTTATAGCTTGCCAGTTTTTCACCTCACTGTTATCACAAGATGCATTGTACACTTAAGCAAAGCAGACTGAAGTGCTTGACATTATCTGTCGGGTCAATTCTCCAGCTATCTGGTGCGCTTCACCATGATGGGTTATAGCAAGATGGGGGTCTGTCTCTTCTCCGCGGTAACTAGCGAAAGGACAAGAGGAAACACTCTCAAGTTACACCAGGGGAGGTTCAGGTTGGATATAAGGAAAAATTTCTTCACTGTTAGAGTTGTTAAGCATTGGAACGGGCTACCCAGAGAGGTGGTGGAGTCATCATCCCTGGAGGTGTTCAAAAAACGTTTAGACATGGTGCTTCGAGATGTGGTTTAGTGGGCATGGTGACGTTGGGTAGAAGGTTGGACTTGATGATCTTCGAGGTCTCTTCCAACCATAATGATTCTATGATTCTCTGATTCTGTGGTAGTGTTTGTAACTACCTACGTGGCCTGTTTGCAAGGTGGGTTCTGTGGTGTTTTCTTTTTCTTTTCTGCCAAAAGGGAGTTTGATTAATCCCTCCTGTAATGTAGCAATGGAAAAATAAGTAACAAGAAGTAACCCTCGGCTTACAGTTTCTGGCAGAGGAGGTTTAGGGTGTTAACAAAGTGTTCCTGGTACTTGAAATCACAGATGTACTCAGGTGGGTTATGAGGTCCTTTAACTAGTGTCCAGACAAAAGTAGTCAGCTTTTCCTTCCATTCATACTCTTGTAGATTTTATTGCAGAGGTATTGCTCCAAGACTTGTCAGCAGCAGCCTGCCATTAGACTTCTGAAACACAATCTCCGAATACTGCTACTAGAGTAATTTTCCTTGATAGTTGTTCTTGCCACTGCAACTCTTCCTCACTATCTCCTTGTTTTCCACCAACTCAATTTCAGCATCCCATTTTATTATGTACTTTATACATCATTATGTCCAGACCTGCACTAATAGTTATGGAAAGGTGAAGTAATAAAAAATTCTGAAGTACCATTGGGTGAAAGAAGGTTCATCAGAACATGCACATTTGTTTAAAAATGTGTGTAGTTTATTTTAATACTTTGTATGAAAGTTATTGAAATGGCTGAATCAGTGAAAATACTGGGCTTCCTATTGAGCAATGAGAGTGAGCAGTAAGTGAATCAAACTCATCCTGAATGGAATGGACTGACCTCATTTATGTTTGGACTGACTTAACATTTGGTCTTGACATAAACTTCTTACTCTTCATTGTTACTTGAGCTGGAGGTGCTTGACCTAGGAAAGCAGTAAGTCTGCATCAGTTTTGTTTGAAAGAATTAACGTCAGTGCTTTTTGTGCTTGAACTAGGGTCTTGGGTTTTTTTTAAACCTGTCAATTTTTGGGCTTAAGTTTTCTAAGATCTGAGGAAAACTTGAGAATTGGAGAGTGTTTGTGTCCAAACAAGGCAACTTTGCATGAATTCTGTGAAAAATCTTTATCCTAACTTGATTTTAGTAAAGACTAGTTGAAATTTAGAGTTTGTGATGAAACCTCAAGCCATATAAGTTTCACATAAGTTCAGACTAACAAGTATGTAGATATCTTCATTAATCAACCTAAGGAGTTAATATATATTTAAATCCATATGCCCACTACTCTTTGCTTAATATAGTATTACAAATTTAAATCAAACCTAAATGCTACAGGTGTTTAATTAAATCTGCTGAGTGATCCTTTGTGAAAAGAAATGTGTTTCTGTTTAAGTGTGGGCGTTTTTTTCCTTTTTTTTTTTTTTTTTTTCTTTGGTCTGCTTTTCAGAGTCACTTTGGACGAGAGCCTATTACATTGCATGGCACAGCACTGGTTGTTCTTAATATTTCTGTTACAGTAGTGGCAAACTGAGATAGACACCTTTGTGCTAAGTAGTGTACAAACATCTGTAGGCATACTGTGTGGAAGAAAGAAAGTCTCTTTCCTGGTTTGCTGATGAGGCAAAAGTAAATTGCTAAAGGCTAACAATAAATTTATGGCAGAATTCAGATCACTCAAATTCCTCCAGTAGTTTAGCTACAGACCATCCTTTTCCCTTATTTTTTTTAAGGTAGAAGTAGCTCTCTTAACGTGTCCTGTGTAGACTAAATGCAAACACATGGTAATAGGTTAAGATTTAGTTTCCTTGATTCTGTGTCTGTGATTATTTTAGTGTGATTAAGCATTTCTAAGATACAACACAGTTGTCCTTGTCCCTTCCAAATGGGATGAGCAGAAGGATCCCTTGAATAATTGCTGTTTCATTCCAAATCCTGCTTTAGCTACAGACCACCTTTCTTAATTTTGATAAGACATGTCTCAGCTTGATTACAGTTAATTTTTCAGAAGACAATGGAGAAGGAGGGAACATCAACTCTGTGGAGATGGTGCCTTCTTTAAGTTCAAACAGTGCCTCTCAAGATCATGATGAAGAAAGAAAAGCTCACACAAAGAACAACAAAGCAGGGTCCCCTACTTTCCTATTGAAAAGTCAGTAGCAACTGTCTCATCTTGAAAGGTTCCCACCGCTGACATAAGGCTGCAACCTGTAGGGTTAGTATTATTTGAGTTAATCATCTGACCTCCAAGTGTTTCCCTCTTAGGAGATAAGGGGGAAATATTACAGTTGGACTGGAATATCTTACTTTAGGAGCTACAGTGAGGAAAATTTTATTGGCACATGGCAGCTACGTGCCTTTTAAACTTTAATGCAGCCACTTTACTGTTTGGTACAGTGCAAAGTTCTTTATCCTTGAAGTGCAGTGGGAAAGCTGCGCTTGCTCTAGTTACATTTACAGCTAAATTATCAAGTGAAGTGCAGAAATATGAATAAGCCATTCTCTTATTTGAAAATTGGTTACTGGATGCCAGTTCTACATTTCCAAAGGGTTATCAATCCTTTGAGTTCTTTTCTGAGAGATTATTCTTAAGGGAAATACTTTAATGCACGCGTCTCCCTTCAGAACATCCGGCGGTGTGTTGCAGACTTGAATGCCTTAAGCATTATCCAGTGAAGGAGCGGTAATTTGAACCTTTTGAGACAGATCTTACTCATTTAAACATCAACTGGTTTTTAGAGATTGTAACATCTGGCCTCCCTTCTTGCCAGACACTGCTTGTTTTTCCTAAATTTCAGACACAGTAGGAGGCTACCTTGATATGCTCTAGTGACTTTAACGGCAGAATTCTGACAGCCCTCACTGTTGTACCAAGAACAAGCTTGTTGTTCAGGGGTTGCAGGATCAAGCTGTGTATATGAATGGCTTGTTTGGGAAGCTGTGATTATATGAAAGCTTTAAGAGATTTTTTGTTATCTTCTTGTCCTTGCAGTGGCCAATTTGCTATAGTGAAGAAATGTCGAGAAAAAAGCACTGGTATAGAGTATGCTGCTAAGTTCATTAAAAAACGTCAGAGTCGGGCCAGCCGTCGTGGAGTGAGACGTGAGGAAATTGAACGGGAAGTTACTATTCTGCAGCAGATTCTGCATGCCAACATCATCAAGTTGCATGACATCTATGAGAACAAGACGGATGTGGTCCTCATCCTTGAGCTGTAAGTAAGGAGACTTCCTATCCTCTGGGGTAGGATGAGGTAAACAGGAACCGGAAAGATCTGCAGAGGCTGCTAGAATATCAAGGCACTGTTAAAATGGAGCTGCTGTGTTCTTGTGCCTCGCAGATCTTGGCAGGAGAATTGAGTGAGGTTGCTGATAAATAGGCCCCCCCAGTTCATCCACGTGCACTGGGGATACAGGTGCACCTTAACATCAGCTGAGGCCATTGTTACTGAGCCAGGGAGTGTTGTCAGCTTGCAAACAGTTTACTAACAGAGGGATTACGTCATGTCTGCCTAGTGCTGCCCTGACGTGAACCTTGGGGGAAGCACAAATGGCCACTGAATGCTTATTTCATTTTTCTTTCTGCTTTCACCTCTTCCAATGCATGTGAAGCCATCAAGTCCTTTGCAAAATTTGCAGCCCTTCTCACTACTCTCATATTTTCCTCGTTTAGAGGAGACTAGGGGAAAAGAGGGGAGAAGGGCAAGGGAATATCTTTTTTTTTTTTTTTTTTTTTTTATCCCTAGACTTTGACTATCAAGGATGAATAGCAGCAGGGTGGGAATGAAGAAGAACTGCTCGCTCTTCTCTTGTTTCACCATGTGATGGGGGAAAATCTTTGCCATTTAGATCCTGCTGACAAGTGAACCTCCCAACCAGGGGATCTGTGGGCTGCTGTAGCCTCACCCCTGCATTGTGACCCACTGGGTAGCCAGGCTGCTGGTTTAGGATGACTATCCTAAACCATATATTGGCTACATAATGCAAACTGGTTTGTGCTGTTCAAGAAGAGATTTAAAACCAGCTAACAGCAGCTTCTCTGTCTGGACTGAGGAGATAACGGCTTGTTCTGCAGAATCTGTGTGTGTCCATGCCTGGAAGAATAAATGCACGGCCCAGGGAAGCTGAAAGTGTGGTCAGGAATCATCTTAACAAAGCCTTGGCTAAGGAGCCTTTGCTTAGTTGGAACATGATTTTGCATTTCAGGAAGTCACCTTTGATGCTTTTGTTTGTATTTAATCTTACGGACTGAAAGGAAGTGAGAAAACCTGGCTAATAGGTGTTTACTGTGTAGAGAAATGCTGGTTTACTAGAATAGGAAGCAGTATCAAAATTGCTGGTCTCCACAATAGCTATTAAATTACCTGCATGAATTCTGTTTGGCTGCCTGTTTCATGAGCTGATGTCTTTGGGATATAGTATTTCTAGGCTATTTCTTACACCCTATTGCCCTTCCTGTATGTTTGATGGAACTGAGATGAAACTTTTGACACAGATGCAGACCACAGACTGATAATGTAATCTCTTATAACACAACTTGCTTTGAATGTGTTCTGCCTCTTTCTGCTGCCTGGCTTGAGATTCTTAACATCCACCGTTTGGACAGACATGGCTGTCCGTGTTTTGGAAAGCTGTCATATAATTTTAACAGTGTTTCAAAGTCATCATGTTTTGGGGATTGCAGGCAGGGGTTGGTTATGTGACATTAATCTGAAATGTGTGTGGAGGGTAAAGTTTACACAGTCACCTCAATGCTGACACTAATGTATGTGTGATGAAATTCCTTCAGTTTTGTAAAACATAATGTGATGTAGAAGGACCCTAACAAATAAAGAGGAATAGGAAGTTGATTTTTTTTAAAGAAGAAATACCTCTTTCTAGCACAGCCAGGAGAGCTTTGCTCTGTGTAAATAGCATTTTTGTCTCCTGGCCTTGCAACCCAATACAAATCAAAATGACATTGGAAGAGTTATTCCTGTTTATACGACTTCAGCTTATATTGGAGAGGCTAAAGTAGAGGTTTTGTGATAAGGGACGAGTGATATCCCAAAAGAGCAAAGAGTTGCTTTTGCAGAGCTAGAACAGAACACATAGACTGGCTGCAGCAGTTTTCACGATTACTAATGTGCAATACCAAGGGAAGATGATTAGAGTGAGTAACTGATCTATCAGATAGACTGAATATACTGAAGTGTTAGATGCTACAGGAAATTATCATCGCTTTAGGTAGGTCATGTAATTCATTTCAGCTTCAGCTGCTCGCCCCAGGGATGCAAATTCTTCACGTTGAAATCAGGAGGGGCACTAAGTTGCCTGCTGCTGTTTGGCTTTCTGTTCTCAGCACTATTTGCCAGCCATTCTGGTGCATATTAGATTTGCCCTGTAGTGGCTGGGAGGTCACAGGAAGATCACTTGCACCTCTGCAGTGCATGTGCAGCTGAATGCTGTAGAACATTTGAATGTTCCCAAATTCAATGGTGTTAATGTTGATGTGTTAGTTTGAGAGTCATTTCAAGAAAATTTTACAGTTCCCTAATGTCAATTAATGAGTAAAAAAAATAATCCATCATGATAAAATTATTTCACTTTTTCAAGAAATGAAAAAAGGGAGGCACCAAGTGACTGGGTCTCTTTATACCCAAACTTATACTGGGATAATGAATTTGGATGAAACTTGGTACTTGACTTGTTGCCATTCTGGGTGTTTCATGGCTGAGGATCAAGACTGTAATAGAAGTGAGTGAATCTGTGTGCACAGATGATCATAGAGACCTATGTCCAAAGCATCTCCACCTGTACAGTTCATAGTGTGTGCTGTTAGTCTATCTTAAGGAGTTGAAAGGGATGTAAATTATCTTAGTGCATGTTGCAGATTTATATCTGTGTATTTATGTGCCTCAGCCTTCCTAATCTCCATTGAGAACCAGGGAAAACCTGAATACTGTCATACAAAGCAGAGAGTAGAATTGTGTGCCTGTGCTCATCAGAGCCAGGAATGGAAGTAGCTCTTCTAATAAATGAAGCTTTGCTAGTCAGGATGTATGGTCTTGGTCTAAGGGGATTAAATTTGTCATGTAGTGAAGGAAGACAGACATCAATTTAAGCTTTTTTGGGCTGCTCTTTTGTGGAATCAATACCACCTAGTTTACAAAGCTCTGAGTCTTAGAGGAGCTATGCAGAAGAGGACATATCCTTTATCTGTCAATTCATGATACTAAAGCCGTAAGCAAGGAGGCACCCTGACTTCTACTTACTACAGTTTTTAGGTAATGAGTAAATGATGCAATTTTTCTGTATGTATGAAGCAGGAAATATAGAGACACTGTGGCTGAAGTTATGTAGACCACATGTTCCCTAGGACACCTGCCACGACCTTGTGTATGTAATCCAGGCAATGAGGCTTTGATCCCTGAGCTAGGGAAATAGCCACTAGCTTTCCAGGGCAGCCAATGTTTAGGCCAGGGAGCATTCCTGAAGATTAATGTCACTGCTGGCAGATGGCATATAAGTCATGATAAGCATCTGTCAATTTTTAAGTATATGTCTATGGCCAAATATTGGTCTCTCTAACCATGCACTGGAAGACAGGAAAGGAGCTTGCTTTTTCTGACTGGCAGCTACTTTGTGCTAAAACAACCACCCATTTCATTACCTTCTGCTTTTTCCTGGCCTCACATGGCTCGATACATTTTATGTGTCCTATTGTCAGGCTGTAGCTTATTGCACTTTTAAAAGGCTGGATGCAACCGAGTTTTGACCTGATTAAGGCCACTGCATTCAGCTGCTGTCTACAAATTGAGGCTGATGATAATTGCTAATAAAGATAATTAAATTCTCTCTGTAAACAGATGATCTCTCCTCCTGACACTCTGATATCAGTCTCCTACTCCCTGCAGTTTATCAAAATAAGCGTTACAGCACCTGGCCAATTAATCTTATGTTAAGCTACAGTGGACTTCAGCTTCCAAAGAATGTCCCTAGTATTTGTGATTTATTGAAGAAGCTATGCTGGTGTTTAAAGGAAGCTTTGGCTGAAATGTTGACCCTCTCCCAAACTCACTGTGTTGGTACAGGCAAGACTATCTCCTCTTTACACAGGGCTTGATTCTACAGGTGCTGTTTCTCCTGTTCAAGAGCAGGAAGAGCATTGCCGAGTCCACTGCTGTTAAATGCAGTTTGGCAGGCACATGGTTTGCCCTTCCTTGGGCACATTGTTCAGGGATATGCTCTCCACAGCTTTTTGTGACCTTGCTGTTCTCTGTCCCTTGGGCCCTGCCTAGAGGCTGCTGTGCCCAAACCAAAGCAGACTAAAGGCAGGTTTGACTGGTGTACCAGTCTCCTCTATGGTAAGTGTCAAGGTAGTGTACACAAAATAAACAGCTATTTCCAAGAAGTAAGGCAGCATTGTCGTTTGTCTTTTATTGGACTTTGAAGGAAGAGCAAAGTTATTTGCTTGCTTCTTTGTTTGCCGTGGGAATAAGGTGACATGGTAAAAGGGAAAGAGATGGAACCAGAGAAAGGAATTTTTCTGTAACCTAAGGTCCTTTGAGAAAGGAGCATTTGCTTTTTTACAAGTGGTGCTGATTTAAAAAACACACCTCCCTGGATATTCAAATAAAACTTATAGTGCAGTTATGAGTGTTTTACTGCAAAGGAGTTAGTGCTGAACAGCTTTTTTTCTGGGATTCTATAATGGCTGACTTTTGGGATTGCTAGTCGTTTCTGCCTGATGGTTTCGCTGAGTTCAGGTGCATAACTTGGATAAGAATGATCCTACACTAAACTGCTTACCACTCTCTTTGTACAATTTACTCAAACCTGGTTTTAAAGCCTGAGTCTTTGTTAATGGGAAATCGTCACATCTCTTCTACTGAATTTTCCTTTAGATTACACTTTTAAGGTCTCTGCAGCTTAGGCTAATGTCTTAGGCTATACCACAAGAGACTGGAGGTTAATGGACTCTTTGTAATGTACACTGATCTCTGACCTTCAGAAAATGAAATGCTCATGTACTTGTAAGAGGGAGTCTTTTGCTGATGAAGTAACAGAGGGACTTCAGACTCCCTGAATCTTTTTTTTTGTTTCCTTTTTTACTTTTATTTTGTAATCTGTACCTTGGAAGTCCCCCCTGCCTAGCCTGATACAAGGTTAGTGTGAACTAGAGAAAAGAGGGAAAAGAAAGCAAGGAGCTAGCAAGTAAATCTCCTGTGATCCTTGTTCTTGCAGGCTGTACAGTTTCTTCAGCGATGCCTTAGGCATAGCTGGTTGCCTAGGATGTTGTTAAGGTTGCCATTGGGGCAAAATCCCTGGTGTGCCCTGAGCAGCTAACCCATCTGTTTTAAGTGACCACTCTTGGGGGCAGCAAGAGAGAAAGGGAATTAAGTACCTTCAGTCTGGGCCGCTGAAAAATTTTCTGACAATCCTCTGTGTATCAAAGAAGATTCCTCAAAAGAAAGTTGCCAGTCTCCTCCAGGCAGGAAGGTATCCTCTAACATCCTTAGCACAGTCCTCTGCGCCAGGGAAAGGTGAGGGAACAGCTTTCACAAAGTAGCTCAGCTTGTGTCCTCTCCTTAAGTGGCATCTTCTTTTGCTGGTGTTGGAGAACTGGAGGCTGGGCTACATGGGCTGTTGGCCTGGCCCAAGAAGGAACTTTTATTCTTAGTCCTGATTAAAGAGTCCACCTTAAGTAACAATCACCAAGGTGATTTTACAGGGTAAAAGAGGAACAGGGAGTAGTGTGCCTACATGGTTAAATTCCAGAAAAGTACAAGAAAGTGTCCCAGTACAGCTGGCTTCCTGATGACCTGGCCATAATGCTTGCCACAGGTGATTGCTTAAGTGCAGTTTGAATAGAAATCATTAAGGAAATGGGACTTGCCTGCTCTCTGTACACAGATTTGACCAAGAGACTACCAGGTTTTACTTAGGAATTTCTTCACTGGGCTTGCTACAGTCAGCTGTAATAATTTTTAAACTAAGGAACCAAGGCCTCTAAACCTACTACAATATGGAAAGGAGACAGTATTCCCTGGCTCCTGAAATGCATGGGGTAAACCAAAACCTGTCCAGTAAGGCTCATGGTAGTGCTGGTACCTTTGGTATGTATCACCTAAAAAGAAAATCAGAGGCCAAGTAAGAGTCTCACAGGCTTGAGTAACTGAGATGAATAGGAAGGAGGAGGCGGCAGCCAGAGACAGCAGTTGCAACATATTCCTGGGTCATTTAAGCTTACTTTTGTTTGCCAGCCATTTAGTTGTCACAATTAAAGCATCAAGTGACTTCTGTCCAGGTGAAGTGAGGTGAGTTCTGCCCAAGTGAAGTATCTTGCCTCATGTTGCTTAGAAAGTTTCTGACTATGTAGGAGCTGCAAAAAAAAATAATCCAGTAATCAATGCTCAAGTCAATAGGCCCTGTGTAAATCTCTGCCTTTGGAACAGCATGGTATGCTGTCACCCACAGCAACAGTAGAAGCTAAGAAATAAGCCCAATGTCTTTGTGGCTTTTGACACATTGTTCTTGTTTGCAGTTGACTTCTCTTTGCAGTTTTTGTAACTGTTCACAATAGTTTCCTCTGAAAGAGGCAGAGCAGGGAATCACCATCTTGTCACCGCCAGTGTTGTGTAGGACCCTAGGGTCAGAGGAACGATTGCACAAAAGACCTCTGCAGTGCACAGCGTGATCTAACTTGTCCATAAGTCACAGCACTCAGTTAACTTAGAACATTTAAACCTGCCTGTTCTTTGATAGATATTTTGTCAGACAACAGGGCCAAAAGCTTGTTTTCCAAAATGACTGTTGGATCTCTCAAGTCTTGTGCTTGCACTCAATGGTGAGCACAGACAGGTGGTACACCTGAGCCCAAGAGCAACAACCACTTTGTAGGTGCCCCGAACAGTAAATCTGAATGATAATAAATCAATAATACCAATGACAGTGTGAACTGGAAACAATAAATGTAAGCATAATAAAGAATAACAACTGCAAACAATGCCCAATTCAATATCTAGATTGTCCTGTTTTATAATATATAGAAAAATAACTCTGGAGCTCTCAATACAAGGCAGAAAAATGAAAATAGAAGTCTCGCATACTAAATATGCATGGAATGTATTTCAATTTTGATGTGAAAACTCATAGTAACTAGTAGCACTTCCATGATGTGGGAAACCAATTTTAAGGACCTTCCAAGCTGCTACAATCTGCTTTCTTTTTAATATTCAGCAAAACCCAAATGCTTTCCTGTCAGTTATGTCAGGCAAGAATCTGTATTAGAACAACGTAATGGCTCTTCTGGAAAGGAGATAGATTCTGTTGGCAGATCTTATTGCCTCATGTTTCTGATGGCAACTGATAAGAGAAGTAATTCTTTAACAGTTGTTGACTATTACAACTTGTTCTATTTCCTCTGTCTCATCTAAAATGAAAATGTTGAAAAATAGCAGTTGAAGTGGTTAACATCAAAGTCTACCTATTGAAATATGTACACGTCTGTAGATTCATCAAACACTGTACCTTTTTTTGGTCCTTTATAATCCTTGATGAATCAAACCTTGCAGCATTAATGAATTAGGGAAATCTAGTCCTTAATTTACAGGGGAGAGAGCTGAAGTCAAAAGGAAGTTTTGGCACATCTGGGACTGGAACACAAAACTCTAGATTGTCTGCAAGACTGGCCTTTAACAGTATGAAGTTTTTTTGCTACTTCAGTTTTATGTGCTTACATTTATTTTATGTCTTGCAATGCAGCAGATAACAGGATGTTTTCTGTTGTGTTTTGCAGGGTTTCTGGAGGAGAACTTTTTGACTTCCTGGCACAGAAGGAGTCTTTGAGTGAAGAGGAAGCAACCAGATTCATCAAGCAGATTTTGGATGGTGTGAATTACCTTCACTCTAAGAAAATTGCTCACTTTGATTTAAAGGTAAAGGTGCTGATTTAGACTTATTGTCATTTTTTTAATGACGGGCTGCACCTTCTACAATTTTTTGGGTATCTGTGTTTCGTATCATGCCTAAAATAATAGGTAAGACCATTTTAAATGCAATTCACGGCTAAGTGCTCCAAGGCAGACCTTTATCAGGCCTGTGGTAACTTTTGGATGGGCTTATCTATTTACTGACTGAGAAAAAGAAATTGTAAGTCTTCATCCTTCAGCTGTTTACATTTGGGATACCATCCAAAGCATGCTGTTTTAAAAACAGAGTAATTAAAAAAAACAGAGTAATGTACAGAAGAAATGCATTTTGGGGAAGAGGAGGGCCAGATCCAACTAAAAATAACTGTTGCTGCTTCCAATCCCCAGTGTGTTTAGAATTACATGAGTAGTATGTGTCATCCAGTGCAGTTTGGCTAACAGAAAGACTTCTTACTTTCTTAGCTGCTTAGGGCCTTGAAAGCACATCGCGCAGAGCTCTCTTTCTACTATATCAAGTGACATCTATAGCTTTGGTCCTTGACTTTGATATCAGAACAGCTGACCTAGACAATACAGAAGAAACTGTCTGTCTCTCCCTTTGATTGTGACCTACGTAGGTGAACATGCTTCTCTGAAGCTAGGAGTCTGTTGTCCGTTGGAATGAAACTCCTCGAGACTAGAAGAAAGTGCTTTCTCAGTAGCAGACTCACAGCTACTGAACGGGCTACCTCAAACATTGCTGCTTCCAGAAATACATTCAAAGTGCACTTATCCCCTAGGAGAAAGCAGAATAAACCAGAAAGGGAGTGGTTTAAAATGAAGGAAAAAGGAAGAAACTCTACTGCTTGATTACATGTTCCTTGTCCCAACTTTAAATCCAGGTTACCTTATTACTAATTACTAATTATGTGTGTGCTATAGATAGACTCCTCCCAGATTCTTGGGATATATATCCTGATTCCTTGGGCTAAATGTGTGCCTAATGCTGTCTCTGTCTTAAATTGCTTGATCTTGAGTCAGTGTTAATGGCATGTATGTAGTTGTCACAAATGTTGCAAATCACATCGAACCTAAGAAACTGGTTAGCAAACTACTATCCAAATCTTCATGGGGTGCATGTGAAAAAATGCAGGAGATACGTGAACATAAAAAGGATGTGCACTTGATTTTGAAATTACCATGTGAATCTAGAAGCCAAAGACTGAAAGTTTTTGCTGTGTGTTAGAAAACAGTGTAATATCCAGTGGCACCAAATTATGGTGAAAATATAGGTGCAAATTTTTCTATACTGATCTGTAGCTACTAATTTTGATATTTAATACCAGTAATGTCAGGTGGTCAATGAAGATGTTACAAGAAATGCAAGACAGAAATCAGAAAGGAGAAGTAAAGAATCATTTCACTGATAGTGAATATCAAATGACCTAAAACATATTCACAGAATAACTCTCCTGGGTTTTATAGGGCTGGGTTTGGAGTTTTGCTAGTGTTAAATTAGATGTGTATTTTTAAGCAGTGATCTGATTAGATAGAGGATGATTCATAACTATCTCGTCACTTGACAGGGCTCCATCGACTGCAGTGGAGCTACAGTGACTTACACCACCTAAGGAATAAAACAGTCCAAGAGGTAGCAACTGTGACTTTTTGCCATTGAAGTCTGTTCTGTCTGCTTTAAACAAGCTTGCATCATTTATCTGAGGTGAACGCATATGCCCTAGATCCATGGAAGAAAAAACGGACTTGTTAGCCTGATGCTAAAATATTCTTGGTCCAATGATTGTGACAATAAATTATTCATATGCTCTCTTTCCCAGTGCAGCTCTGACTGGGAGTAAGTGTTAGCAGGAGCTGCTTCCACGTTAGGATCTGCTGTGAAAAGGCCAGGCAGCTGCTAGCAGGGAATCAAACTGTCTCACTATTGCTCTTGAGCTTATGATTAAGTTATGACAAATTAATACATTAAAGTTCTTCAGGGGAGATATATTGAACCCATAGTTTACTCTGAAACCTGTGAAATAGGGCCAAGGTAGGGAGCAACTAAGGCTGAGAAATTTAGTTGAAGAAATAAGTTTATGAAATATCTGTTATGTCTGGTAAAGAAAGTAAAAGTCTATGGTTGAAAAAGTTAGCTTTAATTTCACAGTTCTAGCTTCGGATCCCTACAATGCTGTGAGAAATGCTACGTGTTCTCTTAATAGCTTGCTGTCATATATGAGCTAGGACCTCTGATCCCAACTCTCTCCATTTTCCGGACCATTCATATAGTAAAGAACTTTCCTGGCCTTGTTGCAGCTGTGAATTTAGTCTCATAGAGGGGAGTATTTTCCTTCTCTAAGTAGATTTCAGATGTGACTAGAATCCCTCAAGAAGCATTTAATAAGACATCTTCCAGTGGGTTACAATACAATATAGGGACAGCTGGGCAGAAATAGTGAGGTTTCCCAGTGTAAATTCCAAGAACAGATCAGTAATGTTGCTGTCAGTCAAAATATTCAGTGGTGCAGCTCTCCATCAGGATCAAGCAATGGCAGTCTGCCTCTGCACCAGGTATCTGCATTGCTTCAGCTACTTGCTAGCTGCTCTTATGTGTGCACCAGTTGTTGTAACTCAGACAAATCCAAGGGGTCAGGGTGTGACATCTTCCCAGGAGGCCCTGTGGGCCAGGGATATATTTTCTGTTTTAAGAGGGGACAGGATGAACTGAGCTTCCACTGTGTTATATCACAATGCTGCGGGGCCGATAACCTAGTGGTTTATCATGTCAGATTGGGGAACTACATATGGTTGTGTGAAAAACTTCTGTCGCACTGTGAAAACAAGGGTATCTTGTTTTCATCCTAGCAATAACCATCATTAAGAAAATAAGCTTAGGAGTGCTAATGGGAAGATAAAGTGAGACTTTGCATGAGATAAAATTAAAGGAATGGAAATACTGCTCTTAATAGATTTACTTTGCTTTTATGAAGTTCTGGTCCATTCAGTGATGTCAAATTTCACAGTTGTCATCCATTTATCAAAAGGATGAATTGTAAGTGGTTAGGCATGGGTATGTGTTTCTTGTTCTACAGTGTTGTATATGTGAAGAAAAAAAGGCACTTGAGAACTCTGTTACTTTCTCAAGATACTAATATTATAATAACAAAGATCTATATTTTGTTATTTTTAGCCTGAAAATATTATGCTTCTAGACAAGAATATCCCTATTCCACACATCAAACTCATTGACTTCGGCCTGGCTCACAAAATAGAAGATGGAGTTGAATTTAAAAACATTTTTGGAACTCCAGAATTTGTAGGTGAGCGAGTGACCCATTCCTTTGTCTCATATTGCAAGTTCCATGAGGAAGTTGAGACATCTTTTCAAAGTTAAGAAGTGAGGGATAGAGGTAGTTTCAATCTCATTTGTATCAAGGTGACCTAAATATAGAGGTTTACTTTATTTCTATAAATTGGAATAGGTGAAAGGTGCTTTCTATAAACGGGATGTGCTACTCCTGTGAGAGGAGGTTGCTGCCAAATAAATATTTAGAGATGTAAATTCAGGACTGAGATTGTGAAACCCTGCAAACACAAATTATAATTTTTTGCTTCTTGCCTGAGGCAAGTAAGCTCTCTGTGTTGTAGTACACAGGTACACAATTACATGGGTATCATAGAATGGTTTGGTTGGAAGGGGCCTTAAAGATCTCTCCACTTTAGAGACAAGGATGTCATGCAGGACAGTGTCAAATGCTTTGCACAAGTCCAGGTAGATAAAGCCAGTTGCTCTTTGCTTATCTACCAACGCTGTAACCCTGTCATAGAAGGCCACCAAATTTGTCAGGCACGATTTGCCCCTAGTGAAGCCATGTTGGCTGTCACCAGCCACCTACTTATTTTCCATGTGCCTCAGCATAGTTACCAGGAGGATCTGCTCCATGATCTTGCTGGGCACAGAGGTGAGACTGACTGGCCTATAGTTCCCTGGGTCTTCCTTTTTTCCTTTTTTTTTCCCCTTTTCCAGTCAGCGGGAGCTTCCCTGGACTGCCGCAGCTTCTCAAATATGATGGATAGTGGCTTAGCCACTCAGGCTAAGTTCACTCAGGACCCGCGGATGCATCTCATCAGGTCCCGTGGACTTGTGCACCTTCACGTTGGTGCACCTTAGATGGACCTTAGATGGTTTTGAACCTGATCTTCTCCTGTGGTGGGCAGTTCATTCTCCCAGGCCCTGACTTTGCCTTCTGTGACTTGGGCGGTGTGGCTGGAGCACTTGTTGGTGAAGACTGAGGCAAAATCTGTATCATTGCTTTCCAGCTAGAACTGCCTCACACTGTACACCTGTTGAGTACAAAACCCTCACCTCCCCTTACATTTTCCCACCTGATTCTTTTTTTGTTACTCACTGATTCTAATTCTAATCTGTCTTGCTTGGATTTTAGGTTAATCCTACTCCTTTCTACTAGTTTCTGTTAGAGGTTTTGAGGTTGGGTTTTGGGTGTTAGGTGGCAGGGAGAGAATTGTAATTCATATCCCAGTTAAACAGAACTGTTACAGACACCTTTTTTTATCTCATTACCTCACTTTGGTCTTTTCTCTTGCATGCAGTCTTACACGGGGATGTTTTCCAACACGAAAGTGTTTCTTATAAAGATAATAGGATTTGACATGGACAGCAATGTAGTCTGGCGTGTAATTTCAATCTCTTGCCCAAGGGCTGTTTCTGATTGGCCATTAGAAACTAGTTTTAATGGCACTAGTTAAAAACAAAACAAAACCTCAGATTCTTAGGGGTAACGGTATCCTTGGGAGGTGAAATAATTTGTTATTTGTTATAATTTGCACTGTAATTAGTGTATAATATCTGCTTGACCCTTATTCTTGAGTTGCGTTATGCTGCAAGTTACTCTACATAATCTCTTCTGGACACTTGTGAACTTGAATTCTTATCAGGGCTATAAAACTATAAACAGTGCATCCTATAACTACCTTTCCTTTTTCCCACCTCCCCTTTCTCCCTCTTGGTAATTCTTGATCTGCTACTCAGTTCAGCCTGGTAAAAATTTGTTACCTCAATGGCTCATGTTTGAATACATTTTTCTTACAGCTCCAGAAATAGTAAACTATGAACCGCTTGGACTAGCTGCAGATATGTGGTAAGTTTTTAACTTTTTTTTTTTTTTCCCCTCCAGGTTGCCTACTATTACTTTTTCCAATTTGCTCTGAATAGAATGCATTCTACTACAACAAATTAAAAACAAAACAAATAACTTAAGTGCAGTTAATAAGTCTTTTTTCTGTCTTTCCATTTTTATGTATTCTTTTTAATTAAAAGCTAAGCATTTAACTTCTGCAAAATTACAATGAAAAACTTTAATGATGGCAGATATAGAGTTAACAGTGTGCCACTGTCCACTGCAGAGGAGCACTCTTAAAAGAAAACATGTTCCTGCAGCGCTTGTGATGGCTTTATTTATAAGAGCACTGCATGCAGAGGAGACCTGTGTACTAATCTGATCTGCTGAGAAGGCAGACAAAAGAAGTCACCTCAAGTAAAACATCTTTGCTTCTGTTTCTTGTATTTCTGGTGTGTACTGTAGTAAATACCTGCTAAAGTAGAAATACCTAAAGACACTTCAAATATCCACATTACTTGAAGTTATGTGTAAAATTCACATTTTCCCTGAAACACCATTCTTTAAGAAAGATATTAGCAGTTATCTAAGCCCACGATGGCTCTTCTGCCTGTACAGCAGCTACTATTGACTTTTTCATATTGTGTATATTGCAGAGGATACAGGTCATGTAGAACCCTGTGAATTAATCTCCTTTGTTTTTTAGGAGCATAGGAGTCATCACCTACATACTGTGAGTACAACAGATTCACTCCTTTAGAAGTGTTCCTAAAGCACTATTGCACTAGTACGAAACAGCTCTCCCCTTTAGTTATTTAAGAAAGGAGCTGCGCACATGGGGTGGGCAGTTGTTTGTCTCATAGACAAATGTTTTCCTGCAGCCTTTTCAAGTTTAAAATAAGGGTTAAAAGAAGAGGGGCTTTCTGAGCAGACAAAGAACAAATATCTCTAGCATCACTGGGCATTTCTGCTTCTTATGGGACCTCATCAGCTCCAAATGGTAGAGGATGGAAAAGCCCAAGCATATTGGTTGCTCATAGATGGGCTATGAGCTACCAGTGTGTGGAGAGAATAGGAATAGCAAGTATAATAGTACCATTTACAAGGTGAGTTATTTCAGGTGAAAAGCGGAAAGTTTTAAGTTGCTTGTAAAGGCAGCAATCTAGATTACTCTGAATAAATATGGTCAATCATATTCAAAAAGGTGAATTTAAGCTGGGATAGGAGCAGAGAACTTGAGTCTGGGAACTGAGAATTCATCTTACTAGCTTTAACAAGCCAATTTTTTCTCCTGTAAAGCAAAGGCTGGTTGGGAGTATCGTTGCAGTCAGTAAGCACAAGGGAAAAAAAAAGATACTTTTTAGAAGAAAAGCATGTCGACTGGTAATGAATAAATAAAAGTAGGAAATTATGACGAACTCAGACTCTCAAAGAAATGAGGTTCTGTGGGCATCCTGGGGACAAGCAGTTGAGAGAGTTTTAAGATGGAGCTTGACAATTTGTGAAACTGCTTGTGTGGCAACGGATGCATGCAATGGAGGAACAGCAATCATTGCTTCAAGAATTCTTTCCTGTGGTTGGATACAAGAATTACAGAAGCAGTCAGGGATCCTTGGACCTAGCTGCTTCCATTGAAATCGAGCTCCTGTGACTGGTGGAGAGCAGTGCGTGGTGGATACCGCATGTTTGGAAATGCCTCTCCTTAACATTCCTACCCTGGGCTTTTGCTGTTCCTTATGACACTCAGAAGACTAACTTGCTGCAAAACTTAACGAAGGTGCAGTCTACTATTAGAGGGATTTGCACCACACAGCTCAGGGCTCAGTACAAGTATAGAGGCTTGAAGGGGAGGGATTGTCTTTTCAAGGTGGAAAACAAATGTAGTGGAATTAAATCCACTCTTGGGCTATAGCCAAGACTTAGGCCCCAAAACCTGTAAAAGATCTATGGTCTGAGAAATCAGATTCAATGCAACAAATTTCCTTCTGTCCTATGGTGCAGAAAAACATAGGGATACTGGCTGAGCCCAAGCCCAGGTAAAGGGGTTTGAAATATTGTCCAGACCCTTGCTTTTTATCAGCACTCTGGTCTTCACTGACACATGTACTTGACAGGACATTAAACTTTGTAAACTGCTGTTTATGTATGTTCATAAATTATGAGAGGAAAACTTAGGAGTTGAAGATAAGCAGGTGGGAATACTTGCTATGCGATTACAGTGACGCACAGACAGCCAAGTGCTCTCGAGGTTTTTCTGTTGCGTTGACAGTTCTGTCCTGGGGGCAGAAGAATGAAGCAGGTTTCTGTACTCTATCCAATGTAGGAGATCCGTTTTACCTGGTTGGCTAGTAATGATTGCCATAGTAATTAAGGTTGAAAATTGCCTCCCTACAGAAGATCAGAAAAAGAGAGTGTGCTTTTTATAATGGGAGGGTTCAGCTTGCATGATACGCTATGTACTAGAAATTTGTATGCCTTTAACTAATATTGCCTGTTAATTTTAAAGCTTTTTGTTCTGAAGAATTCTGAGTAAATGGGGTGTGTTTAATGATACCACCTACTTTAGCAAACATGGCAGCAATCAAATGGATGCCATCATGAGGTGCAGAGAGCAAAATGCCTACAAGTCCTTAATTCAGTAGCTAGTGGAGTGATTCACTGGGTTGTAAGGGCAAAGCCTTTATTACTGAGGTCTGCTGATAGATGTTTACAGGCACTCAGGCTGGATATGACAAAAGTCATTTGCATTAGGTGTTAGGATTTGAGAATCCTCCCATTTCACAGACCTCAAAACTGATCCCAAAGAAAAAAAAAATTTCAGATGAGAATATAGAGCACTGTTGGCTTTGCCCTTTGCCTTTCAGCGAAGGGCCACAAGGTGGAATTACAGCTGCTTCCTGGCACAGTTTTGGGAAGGGTAAAAGAAACCAAGGCTCTAGGGCAGGTTTCTAAGCTTTAGTTTTGGAACAATGCCTGTGGTCTGTGGTGAGGTGCCTGCTCGTAGCCGCCTTTGTGGCTAACAGAAATGGAACAAAAGCTTAAGAGGGAGTATGTAAAACCTGTTAAGAAGTGAGATTGACTGTGGCTTATGAGGTGAAATTTACTGCATGAAAGACAACTATTGGACCTCATTCATACTGCTTTGCTGTGTCAGCTGCTTTGGTGTCATTGCATGATTGTAGAGGGAGAGGAAACACTTTATGCACCTAAATGTTTATTCTGTGGATAAAACCACATGTGGTAGCTGGGGACTGGGCTGAATGGCCCAGGTGGTCCCATCTAACTTTCTACTTACCCCCAAATTCCCAGTCAACATGGTAATGGCAATACAGACAGGGTGAAAGGTCTGTTGAGCAGGATCATGTAAGCAAGCAGTTTAGTATTCAAAACCTCAGTTTAGATCCCAGGATTTTGCTGCAGTCCTGTTTTGAGCCTGCTGCATCCTGAAACTATGCTATCAAAGCTAGACATAATAGATAAGCATAAAAATATAATAATTAAAATAGAAGACTTTTTTAAAGGGATGAGATCAGTTTCCTTGGTATAAACAACATTTCCCATAAACCAGACTTTAGCAAGTCAGCATCCCTGTGGATTGGAGGAGGGAGGGGAGGGGAGAGAAGGCAAAGCAGAGCAGGAGGAGTCTGCAATGAATCTGTTCTTGACACTTGAGTTTTATGGAGCAGAGGTAAATAGTCATTGAAGATGAAGGTAGTCAGTCACAGCTGAGAGAGAGGCAAAGCAGGATGAAAGGTTTTTCTAAGTAAAGATTGCTGAAAGACATTTTATTATGATGATGTCTCCATTATATCCTTGCAGTTGGAGCAGAGTGCCAACAGAATGAAATTTTGCATTGTTCAGGACAGTTGGATTTTATTGCAGCCAAAGTCCTTTTGTTTGTGGATTTCTTTTAATGAGCAGCATGGCCTTACCTCTCCGGCAGAATTGGCCCCTAGGCAAGGCCATGCACCTGACTTCCAATCACACATCATATTTTGGTTCCAGCTGAGCAAGGTCTCTCGGCTGAACTCACTGTGCAGGGAACTTGTCAGTAGCTTTGCAGACAGAAAGGCAGTAGAGGCAGGGCTTTTCCCACCCAAAGAAAATCCATAGAAACACTACTTTATCTGCCTGGAGCCAATAGAAGCTTCTGCCTGGTAGTGTTTGTGGGTTCACAGGGATAGAGACTCTCCTCAGCTGAAGCTTTTTCTATTTTGATTAGCAATTACTTCAATGAGACACTTAGGAGAATCTGTGCATTTTTATCTGTGTGCACACATTAGTGCTGCACTAGAGACTTTCAAGACGAGTCTGACTCATAACCACAGACGTGTTGAGCCAAAGCTGGACCTGTTATTTCCCATGTGACATGGCTGCTACAACACGAGATCCACAAATGTCCTGAGAGTATATTACTCAGTCACTGTAATTTCATTAGGGGACCTCTGTTGTTTATTTTTCCAATTGATTCTTCTTTCTGGCTTATCTAGGCTTAGTGGTGCATCGCCTTTCCTTGGGGAAACTAAACAAGAAACACTTGCCAACATCACAGCTGTGAATTATGAATTTGATGAAGAATTTTTCAGCAATACCAGTGATTTGGCAAAAGATTTTATTCGGAAACTCCTGGTGAAAGATACACGGTAAGTAAAAATTCAGAAAGATCCATTTGCTCTGAGATAAACCTGGTGAAACATAGCCTGACGAGTAATCTGCAAAGCTTTCCCCGCAGTGTGTATTGCCATTCAAAAGTAAGGCAGGAGAATGCTGCTGTTCCTCTAGTTAATCACTGCACCCAGAAACCCGAAGAAAAGGAACCAAATCTCCTCAGGTAGATTTCTCTTTCAGGACTGAATTCTCACCTGAGTCAAGCTGAGTCAAGTACAATAGGGTATAGGTGAAGGGCTGAAAATGGTGCACAAAACCTCTAGTTCAGGGTAACTACCATTCCAATATTTCAGTCTATTATGAACTACTTGCAAGGAGGTGACATGATCCCAGAATATGCTCCCAGTGGCACAAGGGCAGAAAAATCTTCACATGTGCTCATAGTGGAATTATTCCTTAAGTGTCTCTGCATCTGTTGTACTCACTCAGAATTTGTGTGACAGCTATGCAGATCTTTATTCCCAGTTTATACGAACTACAGAGCATTTTTTAGTTTTTCTTGCTTTTAATAAAGTGCATGCAGAAGTAGCATTTCCTTCCCCATAATCCTATTTGTCCTGGAGGGAAGTCAGGCCATTGCAGTTCTTTCTAATGGCTTCATTAGGAGAGAAAATAGGTATTAGAGAGAAAGAGGCAAGCTGTTCGATCAAGATTTCTGGAAATCCTCAGGCCTTAGAGTAGGCTAGAGTAGGTGGGGTTTGACAAGAGGCTTGCACAGGTCTAGCAACTTCCTTTTAAGAAAGGACAAACCAGTGATACTGATATTTGTCCCATGTACAGAGGCAGTTCCTGTGCAATGCTATGTTTCTACCTTTGATTATCAGTGCTCTTAATGTGCTGTCCACCAAACAGCTACAATGCAGAAAGAAGTTAGGATTGATCAGGTTTGATTAGGTTTGAAGTATTCCTCACAGAAATGTTGCTTTCAGGAAATGGCAGCTCCTGCAGTGATGCAAATCGTGTTCCAAAGGACAGTTTTGGTATAATTAATGTTGTATATCTTGATTCAGACACAGTCTTCTTAAAGATGTATAGAAAGAATTTATTTTCTAAGCATGTAGGATGAACAAAACAAAGTAACATTTTATCACGTTTTATGGAAGAGTACACAAAAATACAGGTAGATTTTGACTGAAGAAGAACTAAAATTGTGTGGAGTGAGGGCAGCTCCTTACTGAAACTTAGAACAGTTACTAAACTACACACAAGCAGTATGCCTCATGGAGAAACATAACCCTGAAATTTGGAAGTCCTGGCATTATCTTGATAAAAGCTTCATACAAAGCTTCTGAGAAGTGTAGGTCAATGGATTTGTGTACCAGGTATTTCTCATTCAAGTCTGTGGGGTTTTTTTGTGTTGTTGTGTTTTAGGAAACGGCTTACAATTCAGGAAGCTCTGTCCCATCCATGGATAACGGTAAGACCAAATAAAGAGACAGATCTTATTTTTTGCCATGAGCAAAGCAGAGATGATGTTCTCACTCTTGTTGGTGTGTTAAATGGAAAACTGCCCTCTAAGTACTTGGTGACCCTAGGTATCTCAAAGAGATGTACTAGGAAGAAATTGGTTGGGTCTGATCAAATCCTTGGATTTCTGCAAATGACTTCTTTTATTATTATAACTTTCAAAAAGAGGGTGACAAAGCTTTGATGTTTGTTGCACGTTACAGTATCCTACATTAGACTGGGCTTTGCATTTTTCCATTCTTCTCTGTTCGCATGGACATACACTACTTGTTGGGTTTAGTGCTTTCTTGAGTTGAGAGTCGAATACAGCCAACATGGAAAATATAATTCCTCTCAAGATATAACTGCTGTACCAAGTGTGCTGATTTGCTTACATTTGTGTGTCTGTATTTTTTCATCATAAACATTGCTTGCTTTTGTGGATAAGTCTCTTATTGAAAATAGATTTAGCTAATCTCAGCATGACTAATGAGGATGTTTGAAATTCAGTTTTTGCTTTGCATTGCACGAAACATTAACTGGAGTGTTTTCAGGATTGTTGTTTTTCCTCTTACAAATATTGATAGCTTTGAGACTGTTAACTGCTAAAAATTAACATGAAAATAAATTGTGGCCCTGTTATTTACACTTATCACATTGGAATGAGTACAGATCACTCATCACATTCGATTTTGGGTTTGTGTGTGTGTTTGTTTTTTCAAAATCAAATGCATGAAGGAAAATCTGTGGGAGCAAAGAATTTCCCAGCATGGTGGAAGTTCAGACTGCATCCTTTGTGTAAAGTTTTTGAATTACTGCACTGTCTTGTAAACGTTCGGTAATATTGGTTCCTCTGTCTGACGACTCACCAGCTGAAAGAAGAAACAAAAGTCCAAGAAAACAAGAAGGTTGAGAACACACAGCTGAAGACAAAACGCCTGAGAGAATACACCATAAAATGCCATTCGAGTATGCCTCCCAATAATACCTACATCAACTTTGAGCGCTTTGCCCAGGTAGTAGAAGACATTTCACTTACGGAACGGGGTTTCAGCACTTTGGCTGCATCCCACGATTCCTTGCAGGAGGACATTGATGCTCTGGTTTCCATTTACAATGAGAAAGAAGCTTGGTATAAAGAAGAGAATGAAAGCGTGAGGCACAAGCTGTCTCAGCTGAAGTATGAATACCGTAAAATTGAATCCCTGAAAAGACATCTACAGGATGATATCAAAACTGTGGGCACTAGTCTTACAGGCATAACTGGGAAATACGCTGATCTGCAGAGTCAGTTTGAATCTCTCAGTCAAGAACTTTCTGAGGAACTCAAGTGGATACAGGATTTGATGAGTAGTTTTCAACTGGAAAATGAAGCTTGTGTGAATGGAAACTTTGACCCTGTTTTCAACAAAGATATTAATGAATCACTAATGGAGCTGTTGAATAGATCTCGTCGTGAAGAATTCATTGCAGGGTTGAATCTTGATGTAGCAGGATCAAATCAGTAATGCTGTAGATCAGGCTAGGTGCAGGGTTTCCTGCCTGTTTCAATGTACAGCAGTTTAAAAAGTTTTCAGTGCCTAGATGCTACGCAAAAGCATCACCTACAACTAAAATAGAAATTCTGATGTATTGCCTGAGATGCTGACCAAAACCATAAACTCCCAGTGGTCTGTAGTGTTGAAGTTTTTCTTCCTGTGTTTGGTGTCTGAACATACAGGAACTAGATTATCACAGTGGTATGGACACATCAAACCCTACAGCCTTTTGCATTGCCTATATCATACTTCATAATGTATTACAGTTCCTGAAGATAACTGAGTAATTAGCTTGGAATAAAAAGTAGGTCAGTCTGTACTTACTGGAAGGTGGGTGCCTGGAAACTAATAAAAAATCTCATGATAGCATCTTTGGTTGGTTGAAGGAAAGAGTCATGTAGACCTGCTGCAGGCAGTTCTGTAGACCATATGAGAGAAATATTTGCAAAGGTTAAATGTCTCCTGTAAAATGAAGTAAATGGTGTAGTAATTTAACATTTAGCTAGTACTGTGGAAATTCTCTGTGAAATGGCTGCTGATGAAGAAAAGTTAAGATTATTTTTTTAGGACAGTTATGCGAGGTGAAATCTTTTACCATCAAAGATGTTAGCTATTGATTAAATCTTTAGTTTAAAATTCAGCTAAGTTTCCTGTCCTATACCACAGAAATTCTATTCAAAAGACACAATTTCAAACTTGTAAGGAACTGATCAAATGACTGTGTATGTAATTTTACAGTGCAAATATTAATTTGTGAGTGATAAGTGATAACACAGATCTCTGGTTTGCTTTCTACAGTAAAGAAGATGACAAAACTACAACTAATTTAATCTATGGTGTGCGATTTGAGACTAGTGTTTTTGCTGTGAAGATTTTTTTTCTTAAATTTTAGAAAGTAAAAGAAAAGATGGCCCAAACTTGAATCCTGCCCTGCTGTCTTGTATAATCAAATGACTTCTTTGAAATACTGTATTAATATGCGCAGATGTACCCATCTCGGTTTTGGACACAATAAACAGTTATTTATGGAGGATGCAATTGTTCCCTGATGGTGTAGTTAGTGATTGAAAAAGAGATGTCAAGCTTCTGTGTACTGAAAAGAGTTGCCAGCCTAGGTTCTGCAGCTAGTTTACACCCCTTAGCTATATGAATTTGCTGCAAGGTGACTGTTATGCAGCTACAAAAATCAGTGAGATAGTAGCCAGCCATCCCTGCACCATGGCTCAAGTCCATCTAGAGTGGATCTTTATATATGTGTGTGTACATATATATGTATATATTAGAGTATGTCTTTCACTGCTCAGCCTCCCTCCTCCTTTTCCAGAGAAGTTAATGACATAACTAAATTGAACTATTGTTGTTCCTAACATTATCAAGAACAATGTTTCCTACTTTGAGATAAAAAGATAAAAGCATGCTCTCATCCAGTTTGTGTAGAGTACAGCGGACCCATCGTTGCCATGTCCTCGTAAGGACATGCAGAGGCTGGTGAAAATTCAGAGTTCTGAAAAAAGTTATTCATTAGGGGTGTTGTTACTCCTGTCATTGCATTTGGTGGAGGATGGAAACTGGATGTGCCCTCTGTGGCATCTTTCTTTGCACAAGATGTAAAATTTTCAAAAGCCTCAAAGTAGTGTAGATAGCCAGGAGATGTCTCTAGCAAGCTGGTGCTGATAGTTGGGGAGAATTGGGCTCCACTGTGACAAACAGTATTGAGAATTTTACATATGTCCATTTTTTATTCTCTCAGAATGCTTTGGTCATCACTTCTGTAGGTTCCTTTAAGCTGGAAGACCCATGAAATACTGTCCAAGAGAACTGGAAGACAGGATTTTTTTATGAGGGAGGGAGTTTTAATTCTTAAAACGTAACTTAAAGCTTAGTGAGAGTTAACATCTGCAGAAAAGACTCTCAAGAAAGAGAGTCTGCATTCTCATATTCTCTGTTCATGTAGAATTTCTTTATGAACAAGTGCACGGGCATGATGAGAAGGAACATTAAATGAGGTCACTCTGTTCCTGAGCATGTTTGGGTGAGGTTAATATTGTTGTGACTCAGTTCTTGAGGCTAGTGCTCTCTGAGCTGAAGGAGGTCACTGACATACTGCTTTTGAGAAGATATTCTGATGACTGAGAAAATGACAAGGTCACTGTTTTGCAGGCTGCTTAGAAATTGATAGGCAGTTATTAACAGTCTGGCATGCTGTAAAGTGAGCTATTTTGATTCAGCGATGGTTCTACTGCTGAAAGGACACTCAGAAATTTTTCATTATGATTGTACAGCTGACATTTAGCCAGTGACATTTTTGCCACTTCAAATGGATTTTTACTCGGTGTTTTGTTGCACCATGCTAGCCATCTGCAGCATGGAGAAGTGATATTTAATGCTTAGATGTCCCAGTTCTGTTGCATGCAAATGGTACATACATCTGAGAAAGAGACCTACCTGACAGCTTGGCTCCTTGAATTACTGCTGAGATATCTGAACAAATGCTATACCTACAGCATTTGATGAGAAAAGTGAATTTGCTGTCTCATGAACATGATCAATTATTTTGCTGGAAAAAAAAAAAGTTAAAATCCTCACTGCTTTCCATTCTGCTTTGGTACTTTTGTTTCTTCAAGTGTCTGGCTTGGTTGCATTCCAGTCCAGTTCAACATAAATATTTCTGGGTTGTCCACTTCCTACATGTGCAGATCAGAACTACTGAAATAGTTGTCACTCCATAAACTCCATAATCTTTGAAGGGTTGATTCCTGGCCTTTCTCTTTTGACTTTTACCAGATCTGGTTTTGAATGTTTATTTCCCTCAATCTGTCAGATAGTTTTCCTGTCTATGCAAATTTTGATGCAGTTGTGGGGATGAAAAGTGCTTCGTTTTCAGGAGGACTGTGTCAGGGTTTGTGGAACATCTGTTCCTTAACACCAGATTGGCATCCAAAAATTTTAGGCACGTATGTGAATTCTGATATATATATATTTTTTTTTCTTCCTATGTTTCCATACTCAGATATTGCAATTCTTTCCTCATATATCTATTGCCAGGGTATCAATGTCTTGTGCTCTTATACTCTGGGTATGGTTAAAGGACAAAGCGTGAGGTTATTTTCAGACAGCATGTATCCTCTTTGCTAACACTAAATGACAGCTTTTTTCCCATTTTGTTACGGTGATGTCAGCAAAACATACTGGAGTGAGTTTGATCGAATGCTGTGAAAATGATTAAGGGATTAGAGTGTCTGTCAAACAGGGGGAGGCCGAGAGAGCTGGGATTGTTTAGTGTCAAAATGGGAAGATTGAGGAGGATTTTCTCAATCTGTATAAACAGGTAGTGGAATGGAGTAAAGAAAACGGAGCCAAGCTCTCAGTGGTATCCAGTGACAGGACAAGAGGCAATGGGCACAAATTGAAATAAAGAAATTCTATTTAAAATTTGAAAAGCAAACAAACTTCTTTACTAAAGGAGCAAACACTGGAATGTGTTGCCCAGAGAGGTGGTGAAGTCTGTGTCCTCTGAAACCCAAGTGGGATGTGGTCCTGGGCAAGCTGCAGTAGCTGAGCCTGCCCTGAGCAGGGGCTTGGATTAGATTATCACAAGGCCCCTTCCAAACTCTACTATTCTGTGATTCCTGGCAAGTCCAGTGTTGACCAAGGCTCGTCATGGATTTACTTTTCTTGGGCCACTTTCTAATTTTGCTTGGGACCTGTCAATCTCAGACTAATTGCAGAAGATTACTCACAGTGTCAGGTTACGTGAGCCTTCCTGAGATTTTGATAAGCTTTATTGTTTTTATAAGTTTTATTGACCAACTTTGTGAGACACATGAAAAGGGTTACTCTCTGGTACCATTTTAATCTTTGGGTTGTAGAATACAGCTAGTGCTCTCAGAAGTTACTCTGTATTTCACATTCACATGAATTCACACATTCTCCATCTTCAGATCTGAAATAACTGCCTCAAACTTACCTATGTACCTTTGAAGTCTCGATAGCCCAGTACAACTTTCTTATTCTTTCCTTCTATAATGTTTAAATCAGCCTGGTAAAAGAAAAACCTGTAAAAGTACAATTGAGAAAAGATGTGTCAGAATAAAATGAAGAGCCACAAGCTGGAAGTTAGGAAGGGGCCCTAATGTATCTTTGGTTTAAAACTATCCTTGTAAAGGGCAAAATGTGAAAACTTCTATCTGAAAATTTAGAAGGTAGCACGGGACCTAACAGTGTGATGATGCTGGGTTTAGTCCTATTCTCTCATGATTTCTAGCAAGCATGCGCAAAACCTCTGAGTAGCAGTGTGCTGCAGTGCCATTGATGCACCGACAACAGCTCCATCTCCTTTCTGTCAGGCCTCTGTGGAACCTTTTCATTGCTCTCTCAATGCCTTTCAGAAAGAGACATGAATAAAGGCCAGCTGATATGAGCTCAATCCTGAGAAAATGGAGATGGTGCAGGTGTGTTGAGAAGCAGCTTAGCAACGTTACAAACTGAAAGCATTGCCTTAGCACTCTCTAGCGTCCCCTTAGTTATCTCTCTTTTGTTTGGCTGTCCTTCATCCTGTCCTTTGGCTAGAAAAGCTGTTCCCAGACTTTTTGTTTTTTACATGGATCATTATGAAGCAGAAGGGGAGGCTGGAACAAAGTCCAGGCCGTGAGATATACCTTTTGTGCCAGGTCGAGCGGTTAGAAAAGGGGCAGCAGTGGAACTTCTCAGCAATTTTGTGCACAGGGCCGAGTGTGGCCACTGACTGTACACTAGTTTGAGGATTCTGTTTGAGATGAGAGGGGTCCTGTCCAGGCACAGGGTGGCCTAGATTTTATTATGTTTCTTCTACTTTTACCTGTATGAATCCACAGCTTCCCCAACCAGCATTCTTTTCAGCCAGCTCCAGAGCACATGAAGAATCTTACATATTTCACGCACCGAAGGGAGCCAAGCAATAAAATTGCTCTCTTATCTTCCAGCCAGTGGACAAGCGACAGGCTTTGGTTCGGCACGCATCTGTTGTTAACATGGAAAACTTCAAAAGGCAATATGCTAGAAGGCGATGGAAGGTATGACAGTGAGCCTTTAATCCTTCTCATGTAAGGCTTCCCAAGCCTGATGGGATCAGAGGGCAAGATAGAGCTTGAATGTAAAATTGTAATAGGCAGTAGATAAATGAAATGTGTTTGGATGTGTATGTGCTACATATGTGTGGTCAAATTCTCATTCTTCCCTCTCTCCATAGCTTTCTTACCGTATTGTCTCATTGTGCAACCACTTATCTCGTTCGCTGGTGAAAAAGGTCCTGACACAAGATGAAAGTTTGGTAGGTATATTTCTCAAATGGGATGAAGAGAAGGACCAATTTCTGTGCAGTGATTTTTTGCTGTCCTTGTATGGATGCACAGCCCAACAGGATGGCAGTGGTTTCAAGTGGGAAACCAGACGGGACCGTGGCATCCCTTGTGTTTCTTTAATGCTGCTGTAAGTTGTGTTACTATGATAGAAATGTTAGGCAAGGAGAGCTGGTGAGTCTATAAACCCTTTAGGTACTAGCCACATTTATTCTGTAAAGGAGCAGCATGGAGGCTGCAGATCATGTTTGGATACCATAGCAGTGACCGTGCTGTCTGCCTGAGAAATGAGCAGTCGTGGAGAGAGTGTGCACTGCTGCTCTTGTGCCCAGCTGTGCGGTGGCAGGTGGGGGACCCCTGCAGTGCAAGTCATCTTCTGGAATGAAACTCCATGAGATTTCCATTAGCTCTACTTTTCTCAAAAGATGATACGCTACTAACATTAGAACATCGTGTTTAGGAGCATGGCATCTCGTTTATGTGACTGAAACATTGTGGCCTTTTCATTTCAGAGAAACTGTGAAAGTGACAGTGAGGATCTTTCACGAAGAAAAGCCACTCGTCAAAGGAGAAGCAGCATATTGTAATGTAATGACAATTCCACGGGCAGGAGACAGAGGAAACTTTCATCCTTGCTGAAAAAAGCAGCCCTGACAGCAGGCCTTGACTTCTTGTTTGAATCCTTGGTATGATGCTTCTCACTTCTCAAGCTACACCAACAGCTGGATGATGTTATTAAATGCCTACTGAGCATTTTAGAAAATTGGGGATCCAGATTCCCAGGGAGATGCTGCTGCACAAGCACTGATTGGACTGCTTTGATATGTTGAGCGTTTCAGTGATACTTTGATATATTTGTGATATCAACTGCACTCAGGATGTAGGGTTTCTACTGATATTCTTTTACTGCAGAATAATTCACATTCCACACAATGATTAAGACTGTGTGCATTATTATTTCAGTCAGGGAAATTTTTTTTGAGTCTTAAGGAAATTTTTAAATACAATTTTTGTGTTTGTTAATAGCATAAATATTTGATGGCAGATATCTGACAGGTTTTGTTAGCCGTATGCAGTACTCCGTTATTGCTGTTATTGAAGAGAAAAATCATAGTGCCATTACATATCATAACCTTGATTTCATGAACCTAGCAGTAAACAGCTCTGTACTGCAATAAGAATTGTGCTCTGGCTATCGTCTGTGGCTGAAGACTAACACAACTGCCGTTGTCAATTTGAGTACAAGTAATTCTGGCCACTGAGAGGATGAAATAGGCCAGGACAATTTTTGGATGAAAAAGAGAAAAAATTCTCTAGTGACTTGCATGCACCCAAATACAACATTTTTACAGAATGATGGCAGGATGCTTCACCAAGACAGGGCACTTAAAAACCCAAGGTATATGAAGAAATAGTCTTTATTAGACTTTGTTACTGTTTTAATTTATTATTGGCAAATTGGTGATTCATTAACACCTATTTGCATAAGTACTGTTTACATGTAACCCAAACTGCAAACATGTGTGTTTTATTCAGGGGCTTCTATCCAAAACTGAGGAAGTAAGCACTTCGATATTGATGTAACATCTTTGTGCTAGGAAGTTGCATTATTTTAACTATGTTAGTTTCTAAGACTCTATTGTTCAATTGGTACCAAAAAATGTGCAGAGACTACATTATTTTTCATTAAATATATTAGTTGTTAGATGTTCATATTTATTTTGCCATTTAATAAATTAAAAATCAGAAAGCAAGCCTACTAGAAACAACTATAGATTGACAGGGAAACTGATTTTGTTTGGCTTTATGGTTATCACTTCTAGGCTGAGGTTTTAGAGCTGAAAGGTGTGAACTGGTGTTGAAAACTAGGATCAGGTTAATTTTGCCTGGCTTCCAGTGTCTAAGAAATAAATAAAAAACCCATGCTACTTTTATTTGTAGCTTTGTATCCTTGCTTAGGCAGAGACTAAAATGCAGTTGATGAGAAAGTATTTCTGTGAAAGGAAGGAAATGTACGAGAAGCATTGGAGGAGAGAGGCAGAAAGTACGATTTGAGGGAAGAAACATAAAATGAAGGCGATGGTGGAGGAAAAAATCAGTGGAGAGGAATGAGTATGAGAGGGACATGTAGGGAGCGCAGGTGAACCTGGACTGGGAAGGTTGAAGGAAGGAAAAAAAAGAGAACATAGATACAGGAATTGTGGAAGCAGGAGAATGAATGTTTTGGCAAATATGGCACTGCATTTTGATACTATTTATTTCATTTCCTTTTATCTCATGTCTTGTGGTGCCATAGCCTGTGACATGTCCCTGGTCAAGAGATAAGGAGCAGGGCATGGGCTTCTCTTCACATTCAATTAAAAGGTGTATTTCTGAGCTTTCTGTGTAAATTTTGAGGCAGAGTCCTCAAAAAGTGCTGTAGTAATGTATATATTAAAAGGGAGCAGTAATGGGAAAAACTATTGTTTCAGTGTCTGGAGGGAATCTTTCATAAATAGAACACTAAAAATATATATTTGGATAAAAAGCTGCCCACCTTACCTACCAGATCTTGCTTCCTGCTCTCACTGTCCCATGCATTGCCATTAGTTTATTCCCTGGGCTATGGGAAACCAAATAAACTCTGAGCCAGTGGTGTTTTTCCAAATTCCTGGAGTTTCAATACACTTTCAGTTTCCAAATTAGACATTGCAGGATGTGTACGTAAATCGCACTTCTGAAAATTAAGCCCTGTTTAAAATGGCTGTTAGGTTGTTGCATCAGAATTGTGCTCTCATGGAAAGCAACTGTTGAGTAAGATGGGATTCAGTAGAAAGGGAGACAGAGGAGTGCAAGGCAGTGTGAAGCCATGAGCTCCAGCTTATTAATTCTACGTTAAAACACCACCTTACATCTTTTATTAACAAAGACATTACAGACAGCTCATGGTGTTTGGTCTTCAGTCATCTTTTTGCCCAGGTCGGCTAAGGACAGGAGTGCTGGCTTACTCAGAGGAGAGCAGCAGGGTTGGCCTTTCTCTGCAGCACTCAGTCCTTCCGTAGCTTCACACGGCTCCCGGGTGGTGTGGCATTCATTGCGCAGAAACTGCAACAAGCAGCACTCGTGTCAAGACAAACCATTCCCTGATGCTTCCAGACAGGAGCGAGCATGCTGTGAGTGTATCATCTTTTGTTCTCAGGACTAGTGTTCGTGATTTATTAGGAAGTTTTACAGTGTTTTCCCAAATGTGGTGTTTTCTGTATTTGTCACCCTATCTATTCCATTGAGGTGGAAATTCAGCCCTACTTCAGGGAGGCATTGTCTAATTAAACTCTGTTTACAGCACTAGAGATCACCTTCTCAGGGCAGGGGTTAGTTTCATTCTTTACCATTGGAAGTACATGTCAATAAAATAATTTATGTTACAGAATTTACCTTGGTGGGGGAGAAAAATCTATTTTCTGTGTTATTATTTTTCAGCAGTAAGGAACCTGGAGATAAGTAAAGTGATAGTCTGACAAAAAGGAAGTATTTTTATTAAAATAATACTACTTTTATTGTTATTTTAGTGATGATATTTTTAAATCTGTGTGCCTATATTTTTCTTAAGAGAAATACTGATTTATTTTTTTTTAATGTGCCTAGGAATAGTACAGACTGTCAAAACCAACAGCTATATTTGCTATTCTGATTTGTTAATAAAATTTTGAAAAATGATTTTCTTTTCTGTCCTTCTCTTTCCACAGCAGCTGGCGCACTGGGCTGACCAAGGTAAGTGGGGCCCGCGGTGAGGTGCTGGTTTGTCTCTCCAGGAAGGTCAGTCCCTCCGTCGCCACTGTGAAATCGGAAATGTCAGTGACACGGGAATTGCACACCGCTGACCGCGCAG